GTATGGCGGTTGATCCTTCCTTCCTGCCAAGGTTGATGCGGCACTGTCAGAACCACTTTTACTTCTTTCCGCGACGAAAAGGCAGAGCAATCAGAGGTGGAGAAGGCTGCTGACGTGATATCACGAGAGGGAAGCAGAACTCATGATCAGAGCGTGGCGAACACTAGGCAAGAAAAAGTTCTGCTTTTCACCAGGCGGAATCAGCCTGAATCTTCGCAATCGTTGTTACTATATGCAAACGTGTTCCCTCAGGCACGTTTGCTGTTCTGTTCAGAAGCATCCAGGGTTATTTCTACATTACTTTCAAGTGTCCACAACTTGACCTTTGGGAATTCTCAAACGTTAGGGCGATCAATCAGAAAAGGTGTCATATAAAGTAGGCGCTGACTCCCTTCCCTAGAAGCAGTGCACACAAGCGGCGCACTGATAAGAGAGGGCTGTGTCAAGGCAATCACAATGAGTCTGTCGCAAGTGGAAAGTGTATTGTGAGTTCTTCAAGACCCACCAAGACAAGGGGCCCCTCCAGATGCAACCCATCATGACCTTCTTAACCTGTTTCACAAGCTTGCTTTAAGCACTTACCCTGCCAAGTTCCTGTCCAGTCTCTTCGAGAATCTTCACAAAGGCCGACAGTCCCGACCCCGGCATGTGCTCCTGCGTCTTGTCCCAGTGCTTCAGCATTGCAACACTATACAGCGTTACTACCTTCGTCACTGTCCCCACCCAGTATCCGAGCTGCAACGCCTCAGCCCCATCTTGAACCTGAATGCAGGGGCAGTTCTCCGTCTGACACTTAAAGGCAGCTTTTTGGAAGTCGAACCTCCCCTCAAGAGTGACGACCGCCCACTTCTCAGAGACTGCTTGTGCTGGACCCCAAGCTGTCTGCTTGCAGTGCGCACAGGGGCGCAGGGGCGGTTGAGCAAAACACTTGCCTACGTTGATCAGCTGGCCATTGACAACAGCTTGGGTGGGGCTGAGGGGAGACCAAAAGCCTTCTGCTTTTAGTATGGAGCGGTGGTGGAAATGAGCATAGGGGTGATAGCTCTCATCACACTCAGCGCAGATTGCGCGGCCCCCTGTGCACTCCTGACATCGCAGTATGCCGACACCTTGGCACCCCTGAGAGGTGCACGCCGACTCTCCTTCCATAGGAATAGCCTCTTGCCGGAGCAACTCTGCCGCAATCGATGGGCGGCCCTCCACGTAAGCCCGGTACTCCCTTTCAGTCCGGACTGCCCAGTCGCGCTCCGCCTCACCCTCGTCAGCCTCCTCCTCAAACCACTGAGGCACCGAAGCTGCCCCTGGTCCCCCAGCAGTGCCAGCACAACGTGCGCCATCATCGTTTCTGTGGTTGCCCCCTCCCTGATCATCTACCCTGCCGCCCACCTGATCACCCCCTCTTTCTTCGCCAGCCCCACCTCTTTGGGTTTGACTCCGATCCTGCGCCGGAGGCGCACTCTTGCTCTGCGCCTTCCTCCTCCTTGCTGACCTTGGGGCTGCGCTACGGACTGGCACGCCATCAGCGAACACCCGTTCTCGGCCATCATAGGATGCGCTGCGCTCGCTTGCGGAAGAGGCAGCCCCTGAGCCTGAGATGCTCCGGCTCGCTGTCCGCCCCGAGCTTTGTCTGCTCTGCAAGTCCTCACTCTCCTCTTCATTCTGAAGAGGCACATCATCATGCTTCCTTTTGCTGGGAAGGTGGGTTGGCGGGGACTGCTCAGCAGAGGAAGAGGATACAGCTGGGCTTTTAAGATCAGAAAGCTGCTCTTCTGAACTCTCTGATGAGTCCATGACTCAAAAGAGCCTCTCCTTTCTATGTGCGGTCAGATCTGACTCACAGTCACCCTGCAGGGCCTTGAGACTAGCTGCAAGCTAGAATTGATAGCAATGCCAGAGGAAAGGGCAGAGTTAAGAGCTCCAACACCTAGAAGAAGCTGCTAACAAGCCAATACTAGCTGGATGAAGGCCCTGCAGGCTAATCCGGTCAGATTGACTCCAACCAGGGCTCGAGGGATCTGCAATCGCGCCCTGACTCTTTGAGCTCCAGTTGCAAACGCCACCTTTTGACCTTTGACGGGTTGAGAGCTGGTGAGTGTGGAGAGGAACTTGGGTCTAGCAGCGGCCGGCAATGGCGGCATATGGACTCAGCTCCATAGACTTATGACGGCCGTCACATACGGGTAAGACCGTCGAC